GAGGAAGAAGGACTTAAAGAGGAGCCAAAATGGACTTGGGGAACCAAGTGCCCTCAAGGACTCAACTAACGGCAAGAACAAGGGAGGTGGCGTAGAGACAGATGAATGCAGACAGACATAAGATACATTTTGAGGGTAGGAAGATGAAATTTGGTGTTGGGATAGGCATGATGAGTAAAGACAGCATAAAGTGGCAAAGTATCCAATGATATCTGCAGGACATAGAGTAATGACAGACTATGGTTGCTAAGCCAGGAAAAACAGGAAGTGAACCAAGAAGTCACACCTGTTATCCTAGCACTTTGGGAGGCTGAGGTGGGTTGACTGCAGGAGTTTAAGCTCAGCCTGAGCAAGAGCGAGACCCTGTCTCTACTAAAAGATAGAAAACTAGGCAGGCGTTGTGGCAGGTACATATAGTCCCAGCTACTTGGGAGGCTGAGACAAGAGGATCTTTTAAGCCCAAGAGTTTGAGGTTGCTGTGAGCTGTGACACCATGGCATTCCACCCAGGGTTACAGAGTGAAAGTCTTATCTCAAAAAAAAAAAAAAAGAAAGAAAGAAAAGAAAAGAAAAAGAAGCAAGGAGAAGGTTGATGGGGAAAGATAAAAAGGGGAGGAGAGTCAGTGTGTTGGGGACCCCACTGTGGTCAAATGATAGCTGCAAGGGATTCTGTAGCTGTCATGATCCCTAGAGTAAGTTCCTCTAATACCACTTTCTTTTTCTTTTCTTTTTTGTTTTTGTTTTTGAGACATAGTCTCACTTTGTCACCCCTGGTAGAGTGCTGTGGCATCACAGATCACAGCAACCTCAGACTCTTGGGCTCAAGCAATCCTCTTACCTCAGCCTCCCAAGTAGCTGGGACTACAGGCATCCACCACAGAGCCTAGCTATTATTAGTGACGGGGGTCTCGCTCTAGCTCAGGCTGGTCTTGAACTTGTGAACTGAGGTGACCAGCCTTGGCCTCCTAGAGTGCTGAGATTTCTATATGCTATCATGTTACCTTACTCAGGAGCCCCTGATGACACTAATGCCTTCTGTATCAAATCTAAAGTCTTTTTTTATACGCTTCTAGGCTTCTGTTCTTTCTTACCAGCCTAATTTCTTGATACTCTGCTGCTTCTCATATAACTAATTTGTTTCTGCCTCTGTATCCCTGCACAGGCCATTTCTTCTCCCTGCAGTGAATTCCCCCTTCCATGTTCCTCAGCTCATTCAAAACTCTAGGAAAATGTATCTCCTCTAGTAGTTACTCTCCATTCCTATCAGTCAGTTGCATTATAGTATGTTAGTATTTTGCTTTGTAAAAAAGTAACTTTTTAGGGTTCATTGTTATGTGTATTCAGTTCTTGATCTAAATTTTTTTTTTGAGACAGAGTCTAACTATGTCACCCTTGGTAAAGTGCTATGGCGTCACAGCTCACAACAACCTCAAACTCTTGGGCTTATGCAATTCTCTTGCCCCAGCCTCCCAAGCAGCAGGGACCCACCATAATGCCGGCTATTTTTTTGTTGTAGTTGTCATTGTTGTTTAGAAGGCCCTGGGCCAAGTTCGAACCTGCCAGCCCCATGTATGTGGCTGGCGCCCTAACCACTGAGCAACAGCGCAGAGCCTCTTGATCTAAATTATACTCTCCAAGAGGCGAGTAGTAAATGTGCCTTCTGCCCTTTCCTAGTCACTGTTCCACTGCCAGCGCTTAGCATGCAGAGGCACTCAGTGGTTGGTGTGTTGAGGGTCTTACCATGGCAGGCTTGGGATGCCAACACCTTCTGGACAGTCAGTGGCAACGTCCCTTGGATGCCTCCTGTGGTCTGGAGTAGCTGATGCATAAACACATTATCAGCAGGAAAAGGAATGGACAATGAGGGCTTTTATGTGTGGTACTTCCATGTAAAACCCCACAATAATGGAAAAGCTTACCTCCACTTGTTCTCGAATAAATTCCTACAAAGCAAAAAGGAAAACAGAAAGTGATCTACTTTAAGTTGAACTTGCCTTTGACAGTTTACAAAATATCCCAATTTTCTTCATTAAAATATGCCTCCTGAAGGAGGAAGTTCCAGCAATACAGTGCTTGGGTACAAATTTATTTGTTGTAAGGCACTTTGAATATGAAATACCAAGACAAATGAATGTAATTCTTATTAAATATAGAATATATTTAGCTATTGAGATTTCCTCAGAGATTGCTAATCTTCTAGTGAGGTTATATAACTGGTGAGTAGCGCTGATGATTCAACGCATTCAAAACATGAGGAAGGCTTCTTGCCATCTGCTTGTATGTATAATCTTAGCCAGAACAAGTATAATATTACACACAAACTGAGAATAAACACACGACAATCACCAACATAACTGTGCACTCAGTATGACACTTGCTTAAATATCATCAACATAAGTGGTCACTTTAGTTCCCACAGGCTTTTTTTGGACAATTCCTCTCAGGTCCAAAAGCTTATTTTCCAAGGCATTTTGTTGAGAAGTTTCTCCTTCCTTGAATGTCTCTGTTCCTGGGGTAATCTTTTCAATAGTTATATCTCTGTAGATATTAATATTAACAAAAGAACTTTAAATAAATTTAAAGCAGATACTATCTTATGCTACCAATTTGTTTAACCTCTGGAGTAAAAAACTGTTTGAAATATAGTATGTTTAATGATTTCTTCATAGGAAAACACAGGACCTCTTTATTCTTGGAAATGGCTATATATAAATCAGCTTCCCAAGATTATAACACAGAAGAGTATCTTTTTCAACCAGACTCAGAAACTGTCTGCCCTCTCTCATTTACACTCTAGTCTGCTATGCTTATACAGCAGTTACCAAGAGCTAAATAGTAAATACAGTGAATTTTAAGTCACATATTTTTCTTTCTTTCTTTTTTTTTTTTTTTTTTTGAGACAGAGCCTCAAGCTATACCCCTGGGTAGACTGCTGTGGCATCACAGCTCACAGCAACCTCCAACTCCTGGGCTCAAGCAAGTCTCCTCCCTCTGCCTCCCAAGTAGCTGGGACCACAGGCGCCCACCGCAACGCCCGGCTATTTTTTGGTTGCAGCTGTCATTGTTGTTTTGGCGGGCCTGGGCTGGATTGAAACCCGCCACCTTAGGTATATGTGGCTGGCGCCTTAGACACTTGAGCCACAGGCGCCGAGCCAGTCACATATTTTTCCAAACAAACTTAAACAGAAAAATGTCTCATAGTACCCAGTAACAAAGCTTAATGTGGATGAAGAATAAACCTGATTTTTCTGCTGTTCTCCCTGATGTTTATGTATCTGGGCTGATAAAACGTCTTCAGTTTGTAAGCCGGTATGGGGAGATGGGTCACATTCTCAGGTCATTTCATATTTCAATGGTTTAAACAGGGCGCAGTGGCTCATGCCTATAATCCTAGCACTCTGGCAGGCTGAGGCTGGCAGATCACTTCAGCTCAGGAGTTTGAGACAAGCTTGACTGAGCGAGAGTAAGACCCCATCTCTACTAAAAATAGAAAAACTAGCCAGGCATTTTATAGGCAGATGCCTATAGCTTCAGCTACTAGGGAGGCTGAGGCAAGAGATTCACTTGAGCCTAGGAGTTTGAGGTTGCTGTGAGCTATGATGCCATAACACTCTACCCAGGGTGACAAAGTGAGACTATCTCAAAAAAACTTTTTTTTCAATGGTTTAATTAATGCTGGATAATTTAAATAATATTAAAAAGGCTAGAAGACAGAACTTTATAGGATATATTAGTAATCTTTCCACTGCTAGGTTCATGTAGCTATCGTCTCAAAACACCAGAACTGTTCCAGCTTCTTCCAGAATCAAACAAAATCTCTCCTGATCAGCCTGGCTTAGCATAATCAAGATTTTCTGAAACCATAAGCTTTGTTTTAACTTGAAGTAAACTCCTTAATAGTAGTCTTTGAAGTTCCTTCAGGAAAAGTTTTTCTTATAATTTTCTGGTTAAATATTTAGGGATTCAATTACAATGAAAGACTCTAACAGATCCTATCATTTGGATTTAGGACAATTTGGAGCAGGGGTCTTTTGAGAAAATAAAGCCGTGATGAAGAAAGAGTTCTGCTGGAAACAAAGCAAAGGCTGTCAGATCCAAAGGCAATTCTGGAAAATGTGAAGTGAAGGTGACCCAAGAGCTGGCACTGCTGGCTGCCTCTTCCTCTCAAATGTCTTCTCACCCTTCGCCTACAAGCATGCTTAGGTCTCTTCCATCTTAAAACAAGCAAAAATCCTTCCTCACCCTGTGTCCTGCCTGCACTTCCCAGCCACCCCTAACCTTTAGCTATCGCCCTATCTATATCTTCCCTGTGCAGCTGAATTCCTGAAAGGCTGCTCAGCTTCGCCTCCTCTCACTTTGCAGCCTCCTGACCTACTGTTCCCAGTCATCTGCCCCACCTCATCCCCAGGAAGTGATTCCTCAGGATAACCAATGCCTTCATGACAGCCAAATCCAATTTTTCAGGCTCTACTTTATGGCCATTGTCGACTATTCATTTCTTGCTTTAAATTTCTCTTGTTTTGGCAATACTACTTTATCCTGGTTTCCCTCCTCCCTCTCTGACCAAATATTTTCAATCATCCTTACAGTTTCCTCTCAGCAGCAGCTTTCCAGGCCTTTGCCAAAACATATGCACCCAGAAGGCCGGCATTCCACGGTTCCACCCTTTGCTCTCTTCCTTTACTTTTTTCCTCTTATTTATTTATTCATTTATTTTTTATATATTTTTTATTGTTGGGGATTCATTGAAGGTACAAGAAACCAGGTTACACTGATTGCACTTGTTAGGTAAAGTCCCTCTTATAACTGTGTCTTGCCCTCAAATGTATGTTATTTATTCATTATTTTGGCAGGTGAAGTGTGAGTGGATTCCAGCTTTTTTTTGAGACAGAGTCTTACTCTGTTGCTCTGGGTAGAGCGCCATGCATTAGCATAGCTCATAGCAACCTCAGACTCCTGGGTTTAAGCGATCCTGCTACCTCAACCTCCCATATAGCTAAGACTACAGGTGCCTGCCACCATGCCTGGCTAAATTTTCTATTTTTAGTACAGATGAGGTCTTGCTTTTGAACTCCCAAGCTCAAAAGATCCTCCGCCTCAGCCTCCTAGAGTGTTAGAATTACAGGTGTGAGCTACCACCGGCAGCTTCCTTCTCTAGTGTTTGATGTTACTCTTAACTCTCAAATAGGTATGTACAGCCCATACCTAGCCCAGATTGATTTCTTTTCCCAGGGCTAGATCTGTAAGCTGTCTATCCACTGGACCTCCCTATCTGAAGCACATCCAGTGTATTTAATCCCACTCATAATCTAACTCCCAGCCAGCTATGCTGCTTCTCCTCCTTCCTTTCTCTCTCTTTCCTTCCAATCATCCAAGCCCCAACCCTCAGAGTCACTATTGCTTATCTTTTCTCCTTTAGTCCTTTTATTTATTTATATATTTTTAAAATTTTATGAGACAGAGTCTCATTTTGTTGCCTCCCTGTAGAGTGCGATGCCATCACAGCTCACAGCAACCCAAACTCTTGGGCTCAAGTGATTCTCTTTTCTTAGCCTTTCAAATAACTAGGACTACAGGTGCCTGTCATAATGCCTGGCTATCTTTAGAGATGGGGTCTCACTATACCTCAGGTTGGTCTTAAACCTGTGAGCTCAGGCAATCTACCTGCCTTGGTCTCCCAGAGTGCTAGGATTACAGGCGTGAGCCATTGCACCCAGCCCACCTTTAGTCCTTTTACTGTGTTTCCCCAAAAATAAGACACTGTCTTATATTTATTTTTTCTCAAGAAGACACACTAGGGCTTATTTTTAAGGGATTTTTTTTTCACAGTTTTTGGCCAGGGCTGGGTTTGAACCCACCACCTCCGGCATATGGGGCTGGCACCTTACTCCTTTGAGCCACAGGCACCACCTGGGATGTCTTATTTTTATTAAGTATAATACAATAATCTACACTTATTCAAATACAGTTAAGTCATCTTCTTCTGGAACCTGAAAGGGGGAGCCAACCTAGTTGGTGGGGCTGGCACTAGTGATGTGTGAACTCCTTTCCCCTAGCTGTTCGCACGTGTGCAATAGGATGCCTCCGACCACAGTTACCACACACACACCCGCACAAGTGCAAATGGCTCAGAGAAAGGAGCTGTGGCAGATAAAAGGTATTCCAGTCTTCCTTACTGCTCCACGCCAAAATGACGCATAGCCATGTATCTGCATAGCCACACCCATCACTAGGTCTTATTATGGGGTAGGGCTTATATTTAACAAATGCATAGAAATCTTGCTAGGGCTTATTTTTGGCGTAGGTCTTATTTTGGGGGAAAACACAGTATATTCTATTGCTCATCAGGTCCTCTTGATTCTGTCTCCCAAATTATGTCTGAAATATGTCCCTCCCACTACTATTATGTCCCAAATATGTGATCATTCCCACTACCACTGACTTAATCAAATCCTCATCGTCTCTTATTTGAACCACTGCAATAACCTTTCAACTGCTCACCCTGCCTCAAATCTTTCCCATATCAATCTATCCCACTTTGTTGTCAACACTAAGTCCTAATTAAAAAGAAAAAAGAAAAAAATATATCCCACAAGTATCCACTAAATCTATCTTCTAATTTTTATTTTAAATATCACTAAAGTACTTCAGACTTGTAGACAAATGATAGACTGAGTTGACGTGGATTTGCCTGTGTTCAAGATAGAGAGAGCTAGAGATAAAGAAGGAGTAGAAATAATACTGAAAAACAGCAGGACATGTGAAAAAAGAGTAGAGAATTAGCCAGGCATTGTAACCAGTGCCTGTAATCCCAGCTACTTTGGAGGCTGAGGCAGGAGGATTGCTTGAACTTAGGATTTTAAGGTTGCTGTGAGCTAGGCTGATGCCATAGCACATAGCACTCTAGCTTGGGAAACCGAGTGAGACTCTGTCTCAGAAAAAGAAAAGAAAACAACAGACAGGGAGATTTGGGGAAAAAAACAAAACTACTGGAAATAAAAAACTCAGTGAATAAGTTAAACATAATTAAATAGGAGATGAAGAGAGTTTAATTTACTAAAAAATAAATGAGGAAAAATTCTCTGAATGGATCACAGAGAGATAAGGCAATGGGAAATATGAAAGACGTGGAGAATAAAAAGATAAGGTCCAGTAGACATCTGACAGGAGTTCCAGGAGAAAGAGACAGAAAGTGGGAAGAAGCATTGTTTGAGGTGGTAATAAGTGTATAATTTCCAGATTGAAGAAACACGAGGAGTCTTAAGAAGGAAATGAAAATAAATCCATACAAAGATTCATTACAGGGAAATTGCAGAATACCAAAGGCAAAGCAAGAAGTCTTAAGAGTGACCATCCAGAAAATCAGAGTACAATAATGATAATTAGACTGACAATGAACTTCAATGGCTAAAATAGAACATCAAAAGTAATAGGATATTTTCAAAACGCTATGAGATAACTGGCAATGTGAAATTCTATTTTTAACTAGACAATTAGGCAAGTGTGAAGGCAAAGTAAAGACTTTTTAAAAGATAGTTTATTATTCATGGACTCATAATAAAAGAACTTTTAGAATGACTATGTGGGATTAAAAACAAGGTAGAATTAAAACACTAGACAACAACATGGAAGATGGGAGGGGAGTGAAAGGAGATACATGATTGTATGGTCTAGGAAGAGGATAGACAGAGAAATGAATATAACTTCTAAACCAACAGAGGAAAGAAAAGGAGAAATAAAAGAGACTGTAAGATAAAGAAAACTAGTAAGGAGGGAAAGGCAACAAAGAGAAATTAAATTATATTTTTTGTAAAAAAAAGAAACAAATAATCTAAGTTAAATTAATGGTCCTCTCTAACACCTCCAGTGCCATATCTCAGCAGCAGCTTTCCAAAGCTTTACCAAAACATCTATGTAATCATATTTAAAATGCAATCTGAAATGTATCTTACTCTCCTGCTTAAACTCTTCATTGGCTGCCTATAGGATGAAATGCAACCTACTTAGCAGAATGTGCTAAATTCCTTTATGATTTGCCTGGACAACCCATCTAGCCTTATCTAGTCCCTCTATTACCCCACAAGGAAGGGGCGAGGGGCACCACCTGTCACACAGTTGAAAATCACATGTGACTTTTGCCTCCCCCAAAATGTAACTAATGATAGCCTGCTGTTGGTCAGAAGCCTTATCGATAATGTAAACAGTTGATTAACACAAAGTTTCTATGTTAGATGTATATGTGGTATTCTTACAATAAAGTAAGCTAAAGAAAAGAAAATGTTAAGAAAATCATAAGAAGGAAAAAATATATATACTATTCATTAAATGGAAATATATCAATCATCGTAAAGGTCTTTATCCTTGTCATTTTCACATGGAGTAGGATGAGGATAAGAGGCGTTAGTCTTGCTGTCTCAGGGGTAGCAGAGGCAGAAGAAAATCCACACATACGTGGACAGTTCAAACCATGTTGTTCAAGGGTCACCTGTACATCTTAATTCAAGCTATATCTATTTTTTTTTGTATCCTTTTTTTTTTTT